TCTCTCTCTCTCTCTCTCTCTCTCTCTCTCTCTCTCTCTCTCTCTCTCTCTCTCTCTCTTTCTGTCTCATTGTGTCATATGGATTTCTGTTAATTTATTATGCTGATCTGTTCTGTACGACATCTATTGCACGCCTGTCTGTCCTGGAAGAGGGATCCCTCCTCAGTTGCTCTTCCTGAGGTTTCTACCGTTTTTTTCCCCCCCCCGTTAAAGTTTTTTCTTATCCGCTGTGAGGGTCCAAAGGACAGAGGGATGTTGTATGCTGTAAAGCCCTGTGAGGCAAATTGTGATTTGTGATATTGGGCTTTATAAATAAAATTGATTGATTGATTGATTGATTGATTGATTGATTGACTGTTCCATGTTCATTGGACCTGCAGTCTCAAATTTTATGTATGTGCCATCTGTCATATTCACTCAATAGTGTCACAAATCAAATGACCAAAACATGTACCAGAGAACTTATGATCGAATGTAAAATGTTACTGACAAAAAGATGACCGTAATTATGTTCAAAACAATTTGTTGTAATGCACAGGACCAAAACTGAGAATAGACTGTCTGTGTGTTAATCAGAACTGATTTAACAAATAAAATCCATACCAACTGCAACATGGAAAATGACTGTATGTAAATAACATAAAACAGGACCTCTAAGTAAAACAAAACACTTGCCTTTGTGGCAGGCAGACTCAATAGCCACACACACAAACAAAATAAAATGGCTAGAGGCAAGCAAAATTATATTGCTGAAATGCCACTTGCGGAACCTGATTGATCACACAAATATCGAGGCCAGTTCAAAGACAGTCTACTGGATGTAGGATCAGCTGTAGGCAGATCTTCAGCAGTCACAAGTCACGGCACAAGTTGTAACTCCTCATATTCTGACTCACTCCAGCAGAATGACGAGACTGGTTTTGATCAGGTTCACAGCATTTAATTGTCATCCTCTGTGTCAACAGATAAAACAACACAATAGTGTGGTTGGTGTTGTCCTCACACACACACACACACACACACACACACACACACACACACACAGCTCCTGCCCTGTAACATGAAAGTCCAAGCAGCAAAAGGGCGTGATTATGACACTCAATGTGATCGTATAGTTTTTACATAAACATGAGTTATCTTTTTTTAACATGACATGAAATCATGAAATATTTTTCTCACAGCACCAACTATTTTTAGTTTAGTTTTAGCATGAACCTGTTTAAGTATTTTTTCCCAAACACAATATAACAATGAATTAATATAAAACAATAAAATACAAAATCATGTGCAAAGGCTCTTACTAATAAATAAAATAACAAATAAAATGATAAATTAAAACGTTTCTTTTTAATATAAAACATACCTGTGTAAACAGATAAAACAACACAATAGTGTGGTTGGCGTTGTCCTCTCACACACACACACACACACACACACAGCTCCTGCCCCTATGCACCAGAAGAGAACTTACCAATGGTTGCAAAACTTGTCAACAATGTTTATATCACTCAACATACTATGTTTTCAGTGAAATTTGTGCATTGCAGATTAAAATATAAAAGTCACGGAGCTGTGTGCACTACAAACCGTAACATGGAAGTCCAAGCAGCAAAAGGGACGAGCTGCTGGCTTCCGGTAACTATACCAACCACATCCGCCAAAATAAAATATTCCTCCAAAATAAAATAAAATGGAGTCTTGCATAAATAAACCCAAAATACACATCCATCAATATGAAAATAAAATAAGAACAAAATTAAAGGAACACGAACTTCAAACAAACAAAACAACCTTGTTACACATGTATTGCATTAAATGATGAGGAATTTAAATACCCCAACAGCACAATATATAATCAATTAGAAAACATTACATTTGTTTTTGCCTTTACATTAATATTGCACATGTATTATCATATACAACACAGCATTCATAAAAACGTTGCATTTATGATTTCATAAAATGTGGTTGTAAGAGGCTGGCAGATCTTTTAATGTTAAAACACCAGCCTTTGATAGATAACTAAATATCAAAGGCACTCTAATGATTTAGTATTTTGCTTCCATGAAGTCTGGGACTTGTGAGAGATGGGTTAAAAAAAGTAAAAAAAAAAAAAAAAAAAACCCATTACAGAGAGGACATCCTCATTTTTGGTCCTTAGAAGTAGTAGTTCTGAGTCATGCTCCTGAAACACTTGGTCCTACATTTCCCATAATGCAAGTGAATAGGATCTTTTAGTAGACACTTTCTTGTTGGTAAATTCTTCTTTTAGTTGAAATTCTGTTGTCTCCATGCCCAGATAACTACAGTGATGTCACTTGTGTCATTCTCCCAGACTTGACAAAGCCTCTTAAGAGCCACAAAAAAACCTCATACAACAGTCTTCACAGGCTGAATAGTATTCCTCATCACAAGAAAACAGAACATGACTAGGCTTGTGCCGATTTCCGATTTAACCGGTTCGGTCCGGTTTAAGAGCTCCACCCGGTTTAATTCACATCAACCAGATAATCCGGAGGAGAGAAAAAAAAAAAAGAAAAAGCTTTTCACATCGGCGGCGTGTCAAGGGACTATATTCAACTTATCTTGCATTGTAACATGCATTATGACAACTCAATAAGGTTTATGTTTGTTTATAAATGAAGTAGAGGAGCCTACAAGTGTTTTGTTTAGTTTGTCTCAGAGGCTTCAGAGGGACTCCACAGCTCCGCTCTGCTCAGCTGTCTGCTGTGAGAGATCAAATTTCATTGGGGGCGGGGAAAAGTGCGAGGGACTCAGCAGTCATTCAGTTTGTTGCCCTAGTAACCCGTTTCCACTAAAGAAGTTCCTGGTACTATTTGGGGGGCTGGAACTACTACAGGATTGTCCTCTCTCTCGGCCCTCTTAACCTCTTTGTCTCCACTGAGAGAGCGGAGTCTGAGGAAGGTTCCTTGGTGTCCTTCTGCGTCTTCTTCTTCTTGTGTAACCTTGTGTGTATTGGCGGTTAATACAGCATTACCGCCACCTAGTGGATTGGAAGCTCATTATACCTATAATGGGCTTTTATTGGGAAAAATAGCTCATATGCGACCCCCAGTGGTAAAATTAGGTATATAATTCGATATATCGGTTCGGTTAGATATTTGGCTTTAAATCAAACCGGTTGGAAAATTTTAAAACTGGCATAAGCCTAAACATGACATTCAAAATTGTGTCCATTTAGTAACACCCTTGTACACAAAAATGTAAAAGTTGTACAATAAAATAAGTGCCTCTAAATCTGGTGTCTTTCTAGGGCTTTTATACAATGATAGTCAGAAATGTGTGACATTGTTGAAAATTACCAACATTTGTCTACATTCTGTCACATTCCTTCTAGGTATGTGTCCTCCAGTCCATGCTCTGCTTGTGCAGCAAAGATAGCTGAAGTGCTGAAGGCCAGGAAAAACGTCAAGCTGAGCATCTTTGCTGCTCGACTGTTTGAGTGGGAGGAAACAGAGATCCAGGCCGGACTGAAGGCCCTTCACGCCGCTGGCTGTAAACTGAGGGTGATGAAGCCCCTGGACTTCTCCTACACCTGGGACACATTTGTTGACAATGAGGACCAACCTCTGAACCTGTGGGAAGACTGCAAAGAAAACTATGAGTATTACCAAGAGAAGCTGGCTGATATTCTACAGTGATTGCAGTAAGTGTTAAAAAGAAAAAGCTGCTGGTTGTTGGCCCCGTGCTTTGATAGTGACAGTAGAGATACAGACAGGCAATGTGGAGAGCGAAAGAGAGAGAGGGAGAGGCATTACATGCAACAAAGCTCCATGCCAGGATTGAACTTGGGACATTGTGATTATATGGTGGTCATCCTAACCTGGTCAAAACCCAATATGTTCCAAACACAAAAAAAGTATTGTAAGGGTGGATTTCTACTCTAAATGCACTCATCAATCATTAGCAGGAAAAAAAAAAAAAAACACCTCTTTTTTTCTCCCCCGTCCATTCCGATGAACGTAGATTCTTAACACCAGAATCACCTAATAGGAAAAATGACAAAAAATGGTCTTCATACACCTTTTTTTCAACAAAAAACATGAGATTATTTTTCAGGAATGGTTAACTCATATCAGTGAATAAAGTGATGCTTTTAAAGATATTTTTTTAGGCATTTTTTGCCTTTATTTGACAGGACAGACAAGCGTGAAGGGGGGAGAGAGAGAGGGAGTGACATGCAGCAAAGGGCCACAGGCTGGCGTCGAACCCGGGCCGCTGCAGCAACAGCCTTGTACATGGGGCACCTGCTCTACCACTAAGCCACTGACGCCCCATAAAGTGATGCTTTAAAACATGCATTCGCTCAAGGTCCAAAAAGTTTGATATATTCAGTGTCATACTTGCGTTTGACCATGTAGTCGAGGTAGTTTGCGATTCTGTTAAGTAGCTGTCCATTAGTCACTCACTCTACAGCTCTGCTCTACCTGCAAACATGACGCAAACACAGAGACAGAGAGAGACAGAGACAGAGAGAGAGAGAGAGCGAGAGAGAGAGAGAGAGAGAGAGAGAGAAAAGCTTTTCCAATGCTGAGACTGAAGTTATTTGGGGTGAACTGGGATTGAGAAATACATTTTATTTTCATCTGTTAGTAGTGGTATGACTATTTCTGTTTATATTTATATTGTCATATTTTAGTTTTTTTTAATTTGGCCCATGGCATCAATTCTTAATTTAAACCCATTTAATCCCTTACCTGTGGTCATGGACAGCCAGGTAACAATAGTGTTTGATCTAAGCCTCAGCATTCTTTGTCTGTTGAGAAATTAAACCACTATTAAAACATCTTAATACAGGCAGTCTAATTTAGGCAATAACCCACTGTCTGGTTTAACAAGTAAGTTTTATCTAACTAACTCATTCATGTTTTTAAGAAACCTAATCTGAAGTTTAAATCTGCTGAATATCAATGTATTTACTAAATGATTTATTTCTATTTTTTTTTCACGTTTAGCTAATGTGTTTCAAAGGAATCTGCATATTGTGAACATAACAGAGCACAAAACAAATTAAAATTGTAAACAATAATAACAAGCAATATTTATGTGCTGTCCGTAGCAGGTGTAAATTTTGTTAATACCTACGAAAAGATTGGAGCTACTTACACATTGATGAATGCCAAAATACATGTAAATTTCCCTCTGCGAACAATTTACACGCAAATTCGTTCTGTTCGTGTTGCAGTCCATTCAGAACGAACCCACAACCCACCAGTTAGGAAACACTGGTTTACAACACATTGGGTCTCATTCATGAAACGTGAGCAGAAGGAATTTGTGTGTAAACTGTTTGCAGACGGAAATTTACGTGCATGTCCACATTCATCAATATTTTAGTAGCTCCGATCTTTTCGTAGCTACTAACAAAATCTACTCCTGCTCCTGACCACTCGTAGTGCTTGTGTAAATTTAGTAAAGCACATAAATATTGCTTTTCACTATTGGAAATTACAATTTTAATTCGTATTGCCTTCTGTTATGTACACAATACACAGATGCCTTTGAAACACATAATCTAAACATGACAAAAATATTAAAAATATAACACATTTAGTTAAATTAGTTGGCAGTTAGCAGGTTTAAGATCCAGATTAGGTTCATGATTGTGAATTATCTATGTAAATCAACTCAATAGATTACACGTTCTTTCTACATGTTGAATGATGATAATAAAAATATCTGTAAGGACAGCCGGATCACAGCCTCTTTGGCCTCGGTGCCTGGGTTCAGCAGGAGCAGCAGGTGGTGGAACCACAAAGGAGCACGCGCCAGCTGAAAGAATGATTTGAGACAGCACGTTTTTTTTGTGTGCCTTCTTGATCATTTGAATGAATAAATCTGATTTGAAAAATGTTTGATTTACATTGTATAAAACAGAGCTTTAGGCTATTAAGATTCAAATAATTTGAAGACGATCCATACAAAACTGCTGTAGGCTATATGTTATCCGTATCATTTATTTAAACCATTTACGCTTCACCTCTGACATGGTTCTTTGTACTACGGAGACAACATTAACAGCATCTGTTACCTCCCTCCAGGCCTTCGCTTTGCCTGTCCCTGTCACACCACTACTAACTGAAGAATATAAAATGTTTTTTCTTAAGTCCACTTCACCCAAAATTATTTTGATCTCTGCTTCGGAAAAATTCTTTTTTCTTTCTCTCTCTTTCTTTGTTTGCGCCATGACTGACAGGTCAACTGGATGCACCTACACCTCCTTATATGGTGGTCATTGGCTATTTATGGTGGGGATTTATGCTAATTGCTCATTACTGGGAGCGCGCTGTCACTTTACGATGGATTGGCATTCATGATCATACACACATGTTTACGATCAAATCTGAGCGTTCCTGAATCCGAAGTAGGTTTTTAGTAGAGTAGGCTTTTATGTGCAAATCTACACACAGATTTACTCACTTTTCATGAATGAGACCCATTGGATATATATTTTGCATTGTATTTGAACAGAATGCTGAAAAACTCAAGAGCTGAATATTCTGTGGACACAATAAAATGTTTTAAGCTGATTGTTTCTTTAGAAAATCAAGTCACAACAGTATTTCCATTTTAATTTTCTGGTGACATTCAGATCCACCCTCCATTCCAATGGACAGACATTTTTGAAAAAAATCCTGATTAAAAGCCATAAATCTTTCATATGATTTTTTTTTACATGTATAAGTAACAAACCATCTCATGTTTACTAAAAACAGTTTGAACAACAAATTATGTACTTAACTATGATTTAAAGACTGAAATATGCCTTGTGCTTCCTCCTTGCGTCATGGTTGGCCATGCTTGTTAAAAAAGGGGGCATGACTCTACTGCAGTCTGCTTTGGATGATGTGGAACATTGATTTGATTATAGACATCTCATCTAATAAATCTGTGCACTTGGGTGAGTCAGATAATACATTATAGAATTTGTTATTTTTAAATCTTTATGCATTTTATTATTATTAAATTTCTAAATCTTCATTTTTTTAATATTTAAATCGTTAATTTCTCTAAATCCTTACATTTTTATGCATTTTATCATTATTTTTTCTCATACTTGTTTTAACCTATCCCATTGCCTTTTAGTCTTTTAGTTTTTTAGCTCCAGTGTTTCCTCATGGGGAGCCTCCACACTGGGAGTTGTGTCCGGTCTGCCCACGGGGACGTCGCCTTGGAGATCCCACAGGCCCGGGGGACTGAGGGGCTCTGCACCACGTGTGGAGTCTACCCCGGTCTGTTTGGGTTGGGGTGGTCTCTGTAGCGGCGCTCCCTGTGGCCGTAGGCTGTGACAGGCTGTGATGAGCTCCCTATAGGTGTTTTTTCCTCACCAGGGGCCTGTATCACGAAGCGAGATCAACCTTTTCTGGGTTACCCAGACCAATCCTGGGTTGACTAACCCTAATAATGGCAATCAGGATAATCGGTATCACGACGCTGGATATCAACTCGGTAACTCAACCCAGGGTTGCTTTATCAAGAGCCGTGAACGCGCACGCAGCGGACCAATTACAATCATGAGAGAAGTGCAGCGTCACTGAGCGTCACTGAGCGTCCTCACAGAGCGCCGTATGTGAGGGCAAAAAAAGTATTTCTCGTGAGGATCAGAGATTAATTCTACTAAAATATGAGGAGGAGAAAAGCAACATTACAGAAAAGGTCAACACCGTGGCAGCTGCAGGAGGAGGAAACATGCGTGGCAACGCATAACGGGATGGATAATGTTAGATTAGTTTATTTGCACATAATGTTAAAAACAGACAGTATAAAATTTACAAGATTAAAAAAAGAAAAGTGCCGGAGAGGTTAGAAGCCACTTAAAGCTTATCAAAGAAATTCCCCTATCAAAACATCAGTGAAATCACATAATAGAGAAGAAAAAAAACGGGTAAGGAAAGAAGAAAGAGAGGAGGAGAGAGGGAAAAATCAAGACAAAACAAGGTAAAAAATAAAATTATGTGTAGGTTAAATTACTCATCACTGGTTCAAGTAGCTACAGTACCTGTACCTGTACATCTGACACTGATCACACCCTTGAATCCCATGAAATCAATGCTGCACGTGTATT